GCAAATTTCCTTCTTGGGGACATAATATAAAATTTATTAGGTAATATCATTTTATTTTACTAAAATATTCCAAAATTTTTCTAACCAATTGATAGAATTTTTGAAGTTTATTTTAATTAAAAACCTTTTTATACTTCCACTTGAGTCCTTAGGATGAGTTATTTTTTTAGAAAATAAATTTTACCAAAAAATGGTCTTTTGAAAAATGTATGTTTTGCGCTAAGATTTATCAAATTTCTTTACTGCTCAATTTTCTTTTTGCAGTTTTCTAAAGATCTATTTTTTCCAACTAAAACTCCATACAGCTTAAAGCTCATTGAGTTATATGGTATCTAAATAGCAACTTTTTCTCTTTTAATATGTGATGCTTTATGTGAATTCATTTCTAGAAAATATTGTTTTACAACTATACTTCTTGGATCTTTACATACACCTAAGTGGAACTATGATTTCATTAGATCCTTTCAAATATGTGAGCATTTATGAAGTGCTCTTGGAACAGTTGGAAATGGTACTAATTGTTATTTTAGAAAAATCTGTCCTAAGTATAGGAAATGACAAATTTTCTACAGTTCTACAGGTTTATCCTTGAACTCAAGAGTGACATATGCTTAATAAAACTGACATGTTACTGTAGTCTCTTTTCTAGTTATTAGCTTTCAATGGGTAGTTATCAAATATCTTAATGGTACCATATAATAAAAGAAACAGAACTTTGAAACATAGAAGAAAAAGGCCTGATTTTTGCTCAGGGGGTTGTTAAAGTTAATCATGCCAAGCAAAGAACAGAACAGATTGTTATGACAAACAGAACATGTTGGCCATTGATGTGGAACTTTGAAAAGAAACTTTCTACTCTTTAGACATAAGATATCTGACTTCTGGTTTTGATTATGTTGGTTACCAGCAAAGACTATCTGTATAACATCTTTGGAAACAATAGTTCAGAAAATGGGGAAACCACCTTCGCATTAGGGACACAGAGAATGCCGAGCAATAGGGAGGCCATTTGTTTCATCTTCTTCTTTTTTTAATTTTATTTAGTTATTTTTCAAGTACAGTTTTCTGTCTATTTCTCCCATCCCAGCCCACCCCACCCCATGCTCCCCACCTCCCTCCCATTTCCACCCCCCTTAGCTCTTGTCCCTGTGTCCTTCATACTTGTTCCTCCAAATCCCTCCCCTTTTTTCCCCTTAAATTCCCTCTCCTCTCCCCTCTGGTCACTGTCCCCTTGTTCTCTATTTCAGTGTCTGTTTTTATTCTGCTTGCTTGTTTGTTTTGTTGTTTAGCTTCCTGTTAAAGGTGAGATCATATGGTATTTGTCTTTCAACACCTGGCCTATTTCACTCAGCAGAATGCTTTCCAGTTCCAGCCATGTTGTTGCAAAGGGTAGGAGCTCCTTCTTTCTCTCTGCTGCATAGAATTCCATTGTGTATATGTACCACAATTTTTTGATCCATTCATTTACTGACAGACACCTAGGTTGCTTCCAGCTCTTGGCTATTGTGAATTGTGCTGCTCTGAACATTGTGGTGCATAGGTTCTTTGAAATTGATGTTTTAGGATTCTTAGGATATAATCCTAGCAGTGGAATTGCTGGGTCAAAAGGCAGGTCAATTTTTATTTTTCTGAGAAAATTCCATACTGTTTTCCATAATGGTTATACCAGTCTGCAATCCCACCAACAGTGAACTAAGGTCCCCCTTTCCCCAAAACCTCTCCAACATTTGTTGTTTGCTGCTTTGTTTATGATAGCCATCCTGATGGGTGTAAAGTGGTATCTCATTGTGGTTTTGATTTTCATCTCTCTGATAGCTAACGATATTGAGCATCTCTGCATGTGTCTCTGGATCTTCTATGTGTCCTCCTTGGAGAAGTGTCTGTTCAAGTCCTTTTCCCATTTTTTAATTGGGTTAGTTGTCTTCTTAGAGTGGAGTCGTGTAAGTTCTTTGTATATTTTGGAGATTAAACTTTTGTATGAGGTATCATTGGCAAATATGTTTTCCCATACAGTTTGTTGTCTTTTTAATTTAATACTGTTTTCCTTAGCCACGCAGAAGCTTTTTATTTTGATGAGATCCCATTTGTTTATTCTTTCCTTTATATTCCTTGCTCTAGGGGACATATCAGTAAAAATGTTGCTGCGTGAAATATCTGAGATTTTCCTGCCAATGTTCTCCTCTAGGACTTTAATGGTGTCACGGCTTATATTTAAGTTTTTTATCCACCTTGAATTTATTTTGGTGCATGGTGTAAGTTGGTGCTCAAGTTTCATTTTTTTGCACGTAGCTGTCCAGTTCTCCCAACACCATTTGTTGAAGAGGCTATCTTTACTCCATTTTATGTTACTGCCCCCTTTGTTGAATATTAATTGACTGTAGAGAGTTGGGTTGATTTCTGGGCTCTCTGTTCTGTTCCATTGGTCTATGTGTCTGTTTTTGTGCCAGTACCAGGCTGTTTTGATTACAGTGGCCTTGTAATACAGTTTGATATTAAGTATTGTGATCTCTCCTACTTTGTTCTTCTTTCTTAAAATTGCAACTGCTATTTGGGGTCATTTATGGTTCCATATACATTTTTGAAGTGTTTGTTCTATGTCTGTGAAATATGCCATTGGTACTTTAATAGGTATTGCATTGAATCTGTAAATTGCTTTGGGTAGTATGGACATTTTGGTGATGTTAATTCTTCCAATCCATGAACAAGGTATATGTTAGCATTTGTTTGTGTCTTCCCTGATTTTTTTTCTTCAGTGCTGTGTCGTTTTCTGCATACAGGTCTTTTACCTCCTTAGTTAGGTTTATTCCCAGATATTTTATTTTTCTTTTTGCTATATCGAATGGGAATTTTTCCTTGATTTCTGCTTCTGCTGGTTCATTGTTGGTATACAAAAGTGCCTCCAATTTCTGGATATTGACTTTGTATCCTGCTGTTTTGCCAAATTTATTAATTACTTAGAGCAGTTTTTTGGTAGAGTCTATAGGATTTTCCATGTACACTATCATGTCATCTGCAAACAGTGACAGTTTTGTTTCCTCATTTCCTATTTGGATGCCTTTTATTTCCTTTTCTTGCCTGATCACTGTGACTAAAACTTCCAAAACATTATAGTTTAGAAGTGGTGAAAGTGGACGCCCTTGTCTTGTTCCTGATCTTAGTGGAAAAGCTTTTAGTTTTTGCCCATTGAGTATGATGGTGGCTGTAGGTCATCTTCTTCATTATTTTCTCAATTTTTATTGTGTTCATTTGACAAATATTTTTGCAGTTATGAGCAAAAACACTTTACAATAGTGTTTTCTACAGACTTTCTCACCTGTGTGTCAATTCCTCTGAAAAAAATGTGTTAAACCCAAGAATTATAAATAATAAAGTGCAGGAAAAGGAATATATCACAAAGATTAGGTTCTGATGCCCTTCACAGGTAAGACTACAGTGGTGTTGCCACCTGGCTCCTCCAGGAGGTCTCCTTGAGTGGTTTTAGAATGGTCAACGCACATGTTTTACTGTCTTTTAATATAAAGATCTGCTTTTCGGTATCTGCTCTCCATGTGAGTGAGAGCCATTTCACGCCCAACACCGGGTGAAGGCCTGGCTCAGAGGAAGAACTCAAGAATTGTTTGGAATTATTAAATAAATGATGGGAAATGGAATGAAGAAAAATCAATGTTAAAAATATTCGTTGACACTTATTTTGTGTAACTCGGTTACATACATTGTTAACTCATAGTAGGTTATTTATTATCCATATCTGTTATTTTATAGGGGAGTTTGGAAAGAAGAAATACAGTCTGATGGATGGTGGGTAGACATTCCTTTTGTCCTCAAAATATATTCCACAGTTCACTAAAACTGTGGATATAGAATTATTAGCGTGCCTGAGGTTTCCTTTAGCTTTAAGGGCCTAAGGTTTACTTTAGCCCTACGGTATCTATATTCAGAGCACTCTGCTTAAAATTGGTGTGGTATTTCTACCAAGCCAAGCAGCAGTAACAAACCATCTGGAAATGGGTTCACAAGGAGCCATGGAGCTTTCTGGAAAGGTCAGAGGCTTCGGAGCCAATAGCTACAGTGTTAACATTCAGTTCTGCCAGTTGCTGGATTCATGACCTTCAGTAGATTTTCACCTGTTCCCTGGTCCACGTCCCACCTGGTGTGGGCCTTCTTTGCTGTAGCAGACAGTTACTGGGGCTTCCACCTTTGAAGTCAGAGTCCTGCTGAGGGGCATTCTTCCAGCAAATCAGCCTTCAGTGCATGAGGGGAGGGACTGTTCCACTAAGTCCAGGAGTGCTCTCTCTGGACCTCCACCTGCCAACCAGTTTTTGTACTGCACTGTGCTCTCCCTTTCTGGCCTCTTGGTCACCTTCAAAGCAGTGTGCATGTGTTTAAGGGAGGCTAACGCATGTACAGACAGCCTTTGTTTATTAATAGTAGTTTGAATGTTTATGAATTAGGTTTTATTGATTTTGCTTCTTAAAAACCTAAATGGTTAGATTTATCCAAAGACAATCCCAATGGTTGTTCTCACAACTTCCTAAGAGAACTTAAACATTTATTTCTTTAAAAAAAGGTGAAACTCCACCTGGCTGGTGTAGCTCAGTGGATTGAGGGCGGGCCTGCGAACCACAGGATCGCGGTTCGATTCCCAGTCAGAGCACATGCCTAGGTTGCAGGCTGGTTCCCTGCAGGCCAGTTCCCAGCAGGGGATGCACAAAAGGCAACCATACATTGATGTTTCTCTCCATCCCTCCTTCCCTTCCCCTCTAAAAATAAATAAATAATTAAAAATGGTGAAACTCCAAACTGAAAGAGGAACCGTTTATTTCTCAGAACTATTTGACAACAATCTCTAATACGAACAAAACTAACCCAACGAATTCTAATTCCTAAACAGTGCCTTTTAAGAGTAGTTTTCAGAAGCAGCCATTACAAGAATAAAAGTTATTTTTTTTATTTCTGTTGAATATTTCTGATAACTAACACTCACCTATTTGGATCTTTAGGTATGAATATAAGCAAGAGTGAGATAGCAAAAGAAACTTCGCTGAAACCGTCTCGGAGGTCCCTGCCATGCCTGACCCAGGGCTACGCTTACTCCAAGAGCCTGAGCCAGTCGACCTCACTCTTCCGGGCGGCAGAGAGTGAGTCTCAGGCTCCCACTTCCGTGACCTCCATCTCCCCTGACAAAGGGGAGCAGGGTGAGCTCCATTTTCTTGTTCAACTCGTAAAGACTAAGTTTGTTTTTCAAACAGTTCCCTCTATTTTTCCCCTTCCTCCCTTTCACCAGTATGTACACAACTCTTTAGGAAGGAGGCTGGCATAGGAAGAATGGCCCCCTGTGCAAGTTAGGGAAAGGCTACGTGTTGGCCAGAGGAGTCTTCATTTCTGTCTCTCCTTGAAGGCAGCTAAGCCCATGCAAACCTAGACTTAAAAACTGTAATTTTCAGGGGAAGCTAGACCAGCATATCTGAATTGTCGGCTCACTATCATTGCTGCTGAAAATTTACAAGTGGTAATTGAGTAGGATAGGGCATCAATAATAAACTCAATTTCCTAAAAAGACCAAAGGCCTTCAACGATACGGACGATAAAGCAGAGAAGAGTTGGTTGCACGAAGATGTGGTTGGACACGTACTGACAGTCAGTTGTGGGCATGGAAGCCTGAGATAAATACAAGTGCTGAAATACTAGGTGTAGGCAAGAGCCAACTGGACGCCACATTGAAGAGACTTTGCAGCTGCCCTCGGGCCCTGCTCTGCACGCAGATCTGCCAATCTGAGACACACCATCATGTTCATAGCAGTCAGGAGTCCAAAGACAGCCAGGCCAGCATGTCACTGAGTGGAGAGAGTGTACTTTTATTCCCCCATCCCTTTCTAAGAGGCTTGGGTCTTATTCAATTGTATTTCCTTCTAATTCCCTAGGATTGGTTCTTCCTTTGGATAACTTGAATATACCAAGATTATCCTTTCAATAATATTGTGAAATCACTACTTATTATAAAAAGTCCAATGACATTCATGTCCAATAAGGAAAGTGGCTAATTGTTCAAGAGGGTGAAGGTATTGTAAAACAAAGTACCAATGTTAATTTTAAATAACTAACTGCAATTCATTAACTTAAAAAATTATTTATGTTTGATACTATTTTAGTGCATTTGAAGCCACGCTATCCTGCTGCCTCCCAAAGTAGCTGACGCTATGTTCGATACTATTTTAGACAATAGTCACTATGGTCACTTTTTAACTATTACGTTTTTATTTATCAAATCTATGAATTGTCTTTTTTTTTGGTTCAGTTAATGATGAGGAGGATAAAAAAGACTCTGTACTCAAGTGCTCTTTTGCTGACCTCAGTGATTTTTGCTTAGGTGAGTCAATTTCTAATATTTTCTTTATATTGCTCCCCGCCTTAAAGATGAGCTGTCTTCTTCAAACCTGGAACATTATACTTTTAGAAAAAAAATCATGTTTGGTTCTTAATATATGTTGGGTGAGTATAGTTTTCTGAGGTTAAATTATTAAGATATTTTATATTGTTTGACATTTAAACAATATTTGTAAACTTGTAGTGAATAGCAATCCCATAACTGAAGAAAATGAATAATTTCTGCTGTTTTTCTCTTGGAATTTTTTTGCAATTCTCCATGAGTAAGTACATTTATATTTCTATGTCTAGATTCATCGAATTGCAGCATTATCTGTTGATTTCCTGTTGTGCTGGATGAAGGTTTATCTCATATAACCTTTCAAATTTTCATAGTTATAGTGCCATTTTAAATTTAAACCCCTCTACTGACTAAATGTGTTACTGTGAATAGTATATTTGCACCTTTATAGCACATTCTATCACATTTCAACAGTATCTTGACTCCCCACTTGGCAGATATACTACAACTATGAAAATAATGCTTTCTGCAGATGTAGTATCACTTCCTTCAGTGCAGTTCCAAGTTGCTATGACCTCTGTGCCTCCCTTGAATATTTGTGGAGTCAAGGTTAAATCAATTCCCCTTTCTAACCTTCCATCAAATCATCAAAATCACACAGTGTACTTACTTCATTGCTTATGCCACACACTGTTGTTAGTTTTCTTTTCCTAGATTATTTGACATTGTTTTCTTCTTGGGAGAACAAAACTATCCCTTTTTCCAAATATTTTCATTATGTTTCAGTTTCTTGTTTTTACATCCATCATCTCAGTCTTCTTCTTTAAGAAATTCTTGGTGCCTTTGACTTTTCTGTGGAGTACAGGATAATTCCAAATTCTAATGTGACACTTATTATTCTTTGCTAGTTTTCATTCTCATTTTTTTCAGAGTATATTCTTAAGCAACTACCTCTGATATTTGATGTGATATGAAGAGTTTCTAAGTGATTGCATTTCTGAAATGACTTCAGTTAGCTATGGCTATTGATTGGTATTTGCTTAGCCATAAAATTCTAGATTAAAAATCTTTTTTTTTAATTTGGAGACTGTCATTGAGCATCTGTTGTTACTACTGTGTTTATCTTATTTCTTTGCAATTGATATTTTCTCCTCTATGTACATTTGTGTTATCTTCGCTTTTTGTGTTATAAGACTCTACAGCACAATGAGGATGAGTGTGTGTGTGCACATGTGTGCATTTTAATCCATCCTGCTCTAGAGGTTGTGTGCCCTTTCAATTTGTCTCAGAACTCTTTTTCACTTCTGTATGATTTTCCCACAATTATGCCCCCTTTTTTTCCTTCCTCTCTTTCTGGAGGTCCAATTAAAAGTTAAGCATTTCAAAAATTTTTTTTAGAATTAAGCATTTCTTTTTATCTTGTGGTCTTGATTTTCATCTTGGATCTGGGAGATTTCCAAATATCTTTACACATGTGTTGGGGGAGGAGGGTGGTATAAAATATATGTTATTTAATTTCCAGGATTTCTTTATATTCTTAGAATGTAACTTTTAGAGCATGCTGTTTTATTTTAGGAATAGATCTCTAATCTCTCCAGTGCTATTTGTGATTGTCTGAAGTTTTTTTTTTTTTTGCTCTTTCAATTTTAGCCTATTTCTTCAAGGCTCAGTTTGCTTATTTAAATTAGTTGTTCTCTTCTAGGCTATAGAATTTACCGAAATGTATGAACTTGAGTTGCTTGTTTACATTTAAGATGAAAAAACAGGAAGGCTGACTCAGTGATTTGGATATAGGGAGATATCCTGGAAACTGACAGACTTAACTTTTGAGTGATTGGCTAAGAAGCCACTACACAGATGACCCACCCAATGTCAGACTGAGAATCTTGCTGCAAAGTGGCAACTCTCACATTAACTGCTCTCTCACTCTGAATTTCTTTAGAGGAAAGAATGGTTTGTGCATGGGCTGTTGTCATCATTGGTCCTCACTCCCAGCCCCTGTGTATTGCCAGTTTGAGTCCAGACACCTCTAGGATTGGACTGAGGAGAAATGCTGCCCCCGTTGCTGCACAAACTCTCGGCTGAGCTACTTCCTCAGCCAGCACTTGCCCATTAGAATTTTTTCTCTAGAAAAGTGCAGTATGCTTTTACTTTTTAAAAAAAACATTTTATTTATTTATCTTTAGAGGGGAAGGGAAGGAGAGAGGGAGAGAAATAGCAACATATGGTTGCCTCTTGTGGGTCCCCTGCTGGGAACTAGCCTGCAACCCAGGCATGTGCTCTGAGTGGGAATTGAACCGAGATCCTCTGGTTCGCAGGCCTGTGCTCAATCCACTGAGCTACACCAGCCAGGGCTGCTTTCACGTTTTAAAAGTTATTTTAATATCATGTTAATGAAGTCTTATACAGAAAGGAACAACAAACAAATTTAAAATTTATTCAGCTGTTTTCAACTCTGCTTCTTTATCAGGTTGATAAGTGGCTCGTTGATGAGTTGTTTTACTGCATGGACCAAATGAGGAAACCTACAGAACATTTCTTTCAGGGACATTTACTTTTACATCTAAAAATCTATTCCAAGATACATCAAAAAATGAAAAACACCCTTCTTTTTGCCCCAGCTGATGTAGCTCAGTTAATTGAGTGCGGGCCTTCGAACCAAAGGATTGCGGTCCGATTCCCAGTCAGGGCACATGCCTAGATTGCAGGCCAGTTCCCAGCAGGGGACCCATGCGAGGCAACCATACATTGATATTTCCCTCCCTCCCTTCTCCTCTAAAGATAAATAAATAAAATCCTAAAAAAATACTTCTTTTATCACAGCTCTGTTTACAGTAATTATCAAACTTAGAAATGGAAGCAAATTAATTTTTCTAATAGCGGTATAGTTAAAATAATTGTAAAATATGTACATGCTAGAGTATCACATAGCTGTTAATAAATTTATTGAACATTTAGTGCATGTTGATAGAAGGGAAAATAACTTAAGTACAAATGTAGACCTCTTATTTTAATGACTAATTTTAAATGTATTAGAAAAGAACTAGAAATATGCCAGTATGCTAGCTAATGGAATTTTCACATGGTGAGATTATGTGTGGTTGCTATATTCTTCTTGCTATTTGTGTTTTCTTTCTTTCTCTAGACAACACCTAAACTATTATAGATAAGAACATGCAAAGAACAATTTTTACATTAAATTTTTAATAAGTAGAAAAAATGTTCATATTTCAATCAAAATATCACACATATCTATAAATAGTCTTCCAAACCTAAAATTTGGAACTAGTTGATAGTTATCTAGTATTTGGAATAATATTGATACTGAAAGATTCTCTCCTGATAGTCCATTAGTTTATTTTTGCTATAACAATAACAAGTTTACTCAGCTTCCTCTTGGGCCTTTCTCTATTATCACATAAGATTTTCTTTAGTTGAGCAAGATGTACGTGAAAACCTGACACTCACTAGACATGCCTGTGATCAATGCCTTTGAATTAGGCCTTTTCTTATTCATAAATTAAACACAAATAAGAAGACAGATTTTATCAAAAAGTGATAATAATCTTCCTCCTCCAAATATATTTTACAACTTTGGAGTGAATGTATTTATAACCTGCATAAATGACATTCTCACTAGTGAACAAACTGGTGACCTGGCTCCATCACCTACACCAGGGTTCTCAGCCTGGCTCCACATTCAAGACATGCAGGGGCTTCTAGAACTCCCTGGGTCCCAGCCCCAGGGATTCAGTTTTAAATGGTTTGGAGCATGCACCTCATACCTGTCGTCTTAAGTATTCCCCAGGGAAATATTACATGTAGCCCGGGTTCAACATTTGTAGCATAAAACACATATCTTGATTTCTCTACAAGGACATTATTAAGCCACCTTTTTACAATTTTTCACAAAGAAAATTAGTCATGCTTCTTATAATACTCTCTTTTTGTGTGTATGTGTCAGAGAAGCAGTGCAGGCTTATTAAGTTTCCTAATTAAAGGAAGACAACCACCAGCAGATTCATTTCATACAAAATGTCAAAAAGAACATTTAATGAGAACAAATACATTCAGAATACAAAGGTCTTTTCTATAGTAATTAATTCTGAAAGAGGTGACTATTGTTAGTTGCTTTCTGGTAAAAGAAAAAAAAGAACAAAAACCTTGTCCGGAATGTTCTTAGAAGCGGTACAGTGCCCATATCACTGTTCACTAATAATTCTCCCGCATTAGCACTCGTTAATGGCCTAGCCGTCATTCTGGTGGAGCAGACCTGTCTATTCAGCGCCAGGCTTCTCGTTTTTCACAACTTGCCATCACAAATATCACCGTTTTCTCCAAATGATTAATATAATTTGATGCCCCATCTCCATTTCTCCCCTTAACTCTAGTACAATATATCTCAGTCATGTGACAAGCTCGACTGCATTTATGCCTCTCCGGGCATCGTATCTCAGACCGAATAGTTTAGCACTTCCCAGCATCATTCTGTCATTTATTCAATTTAGAGAAATACAGCTTCGTAAGGATGTAAAACATGTACATAGGCATTTTTATAGTGAAGATGAAAATGAAGCTGTAGCTGACTGTATTTATCACCAAACTGACTGATATATCCAATTAATGGCTTTTCTTTTTTATAGTGAACTACTTTGAACTGCCAGTGAGAATATTAATGCTGTGACAGAGTGAACTGTAGGTCTTCAGCATTTCATTAAGGAGTGATATTTCTCACTGTTCAAAATTAGAGCTATAGAGAAAAGACTGTTCATAGTTTATTGGTTCAGAGCTGGAATTTCCACTTTGTATGACAAGATTTGTAGCATGCTGTTTTCCCAGCCAGACATTGGTCAAATCTCCATTCTTGTACCTAGTAGCTGTGTGACTATGGCATATTAGTAACTTCTCTGAGCCTCTGTAATTTCATTTGTAAATTGGGATTAATTATTCATACTTTGCAAGATTGTAGAATTAAATTAAGG